TCTTGGGCCTATATTGTATAAAATTTTCACTTCGGACCTCCCTGATTTGCCTCAGGGTTGCCACAAATCTTTGTTCGCTGATGACACAGGCATTTCCGCTAAAGGAAGAAGTCTTCGTGTTATTTGCAGCAGACTTCAGAAAAGTTTAGATATTTTCTCTTCTTATTTACAAAAATGGAAGATTTCTCCCAACGCTTCCAAAACTCAACTTATAATATTTCCACATAAGCCCAGGGCTTCCTTTTTGAAACCTAGTAATAGTCACATAGTCACTATGAACGGAGTTCCAATTTCCTGGTCAAACCAAGTGAAATATCTTGGATTAATACTTGACCATAAATTAACTTTTAAAGATCACATTGAGGGCATTCAAGCCAAATGTAACAAATATATAAAATGTTTGTATCCTCTTATTAACAGGAAATCTAAACTTTGCCTGACGAATAAACTTCTAATATTTAAACAAGTTTTTAGACCGGCCATGCTTTACGCTGTGCCAATATGGTCTAGTTGTTGCACTACCAGGAAAAAAGCACTTCAAAGGATTCAGAACAAAATTCTGAAGATGATTTTGAAGTTGCCTCCCTGGTACAGTACTACCGAAGTACATAGAATTTCGAATGTTGAGACTTTAGCACAAATGTCCAACAAAATAATTAATAATTTCCGGCAAAAATCGTTACAATCCTCAATTGCAACGATTAATTCCCTTTATACTTAGATAAGATCTAGTTTTAGTTATTTAGTTTTAAGCTATCAATTGTTATACTGACATGCAGGTTTAAAAAACCTGTTTAAAATACTGAATTGCCAAGACAGGAACAATGTAAAAACACTTAGATATATATCATAACAATTAAGGCTGGTAAGTTACTGTAGTAACTGGAGCACCTAGGTTAAAAATGAAATGTAATTTATTTTAAATTTGGAACAAATAAAGAGTTAAAAAAAAAAAAAAAAAAAAAATTACATTTTGCGAAATGCAAATCCACAGCAAGCAAAAAATGTTGCAAAATCGGAGTCGGGGGGATAGTTGTGCCTTGATGCTGGGGTAGCTGGAGAAGATGCAGTGCAACTTTTCACATCAAGAAAGACACCAACATTCTAAAAGAACATAATAATCAGTCTAAATTGCCATTTTTTGTCTGGCTGATGGTAAATCGCTGGTACTGGTTCCGGGTAGACTGTCTCTGTGAATCGCTTGCACAGAACTTGCTGTCGTGAGCCGAATAATTGATTTGGTGTTTCAAGGGTTATTTGACAAGCTTCATGTTTTCTGTGCTAAAAGGAGAAGAAGCTGTGTTATTTGGTAAACGGAACGATGGTCTATTTCTTCTGAAGCAATTATCGGATCGGGAGTTCGTAGTAGACCCAAAACACGTGCACTGCGAACTTTTCCAGTATTTTTGGCGTAGATACGGACACAGAGATCTGCAAGCGCTGTTGAAGGTAGTGCGTGAGGATTTGGGACACGGGTTGAAAATAGGTCCTAGTGAAGTTCAGCAGATTTGTGCTTGTTACTGTTTTAACGGAAGATGTCCATGAAGATGATACTTTCCCGAAAACGTCTACGACAATAACGATCGCTGTTGGAGAGCTGGCTCATAACGTTTGGCCTGGTCCAGGGAGGTCTGATGGCAGTAGCAACACCAGGATACATATATGATACCTGAGATCTTGATAACGTTTGGTTAAACGACATTGGATTCGGTTGGGTCTTCAGAAAGATGAGGAATGTCACTGATAAAATACAAAGGCGCAATGGTATTCCCTGAAGTACGACGAAGATTTTGATTGACTCCAGAAACCAAGTAAAATACTTTTCCGACTCTTCCCAAGGCGCTTCTTTCTTTGATGCGTAGTGTTAAAATGACGTTGAAACACTTCGACATTAAAACCGCCTACTTGTATGGTAAACTAGATCAGTAGTTATGTATGCATAGACTCAAGAATGCAATCGTGCATTCATACATAACAAAAAAATTGATTCACGTGTGAACGTTCACGAAACAATCTTGTGAATCCCATTCTGGCAAAAGAATGACAATCATGCGCATTCATCTGCTTTGATGTCATTCATTTTCTCGACTCATTCCTTTGGGGTTCATCTGTATCAACGTTCAGGTTAGTTCATTTGGAGAGATTTCATTAATTTGTGAGCGAACGGAAAGTAGCTGCCAAAACAATGAGCTGAGTTACCAAGAGTAATGTGAGTGAATGACCATTTCCATCCTTGGGCATGTCGGTTCGTTGGTTGTTTGACGTCACACTCCTTCAGACTTTTAGGTGGCGGGAGGGCGAGAGGGATGGCTGTTCAGTACACGGATACAATTTTACAAATTTATTTCTAATAGGTAAATCGCAGTTTAAAACTCACTAATAATCTCTTTCAATCCATTTTAAATTTTTTTTTTCATTGACGAGATGTAATCGATGCGCTATGTCACGAGAGCGCAAACAAAACGAGGCCATTGTTCACCGATACGATAATAATTTTTGCGCTTTACACAGAAAACCTACCCAACCTTTTTCCTTTCTATAGTCCCTGAGCAGCTGGTTCGCCATAAGTGTACCTCGCAGAACTTTTTTAACCCCCATGGGTTAAGATGCTGTGTTGCTCACTCCTCTCCCCTTCCCTGGTGTTTATGGATGGATGTGAATATTCACATCGGTGACATGGCCCCTGACCCCCTTGTATGTATATATGTATGTATGTATGTAAGTAGCCACCATCCTAGCTTGGGTCTTGCCCTGCATGTGGCTCCACTCAACAGCAAGATCAAATTGCATCATCATTCTGAATTCAACATACTGCTGTATGAAGGGCCAAAAAGGGTTGGACGGGCCCGTAAGCAGAGGCACTTACGCGAAACCCGCGGGAATAAGAGAATCTCCTTCCAACAATATGATCCAACAAAATGAATAACGAAATTCGCAATACATGTTAAGCTTTCCACGGGATGGTTTGTTTAAGAAGAGCGCGTCAAATTCATTGCAACTGTTGGAGTGAAATGTAACTATCTAAAATGACAGTACACATTCCCTCCTAGACTCCGGTTGGCACTCCACTCCATTGTCAAGTTACAACTTCAATGATGCTCTGATGCTCCCTCCCGTCCCAGTATTTATTGTAATTTAAATGATGAATTTATATATAATCATGTGATATATAATGTATATAAAATATGTAGTACAATGAAAAATATAATTAAAAAAAAGATGTTTTACAAAATACAAATAACCTAGATTGTTGGGTCCTATACACACACTTTTTGCTTTATGTGCCATGAAATGACATAATTCATCATTGTATGTTTTGAAAATATAATACTAAAGTATTGAATCAATAGACCGAAAATCGAGGTTATTTGGACATGAGACATTATATTCATAAGGATACTACCAAACCGACCATCAAACGCACTGCCCACAAAAGCAGACACGTCCCCTCGAAAATGCAATCGAGAAATGTACAAGAACAATCCTCAACTGGAACGTACTCACCAAATCAATATATCCAGGAGCGCATTCCTGATGTCGTCGAACGGCAAAAAAAAGGGAACTCGGTGAGCAAATTTGTGATACTAAATTTTCACTGAAAACAACCACGAATTTCACCACACCCAACTGCGAAACCCGTTCAGAAGCACTTTTGGTACACTTTCAATATCAATTTCTTTCGAAAAAACTTTTTTTTTTTTTTTGTAAATCGTTGACTTCACGTAGCAGTAATACTTAAAACATATAGTCAAAGTACTTAATTTATTTTTTATTTTTGCAAAAATAGTTGCAAGTGTACCAACATCAACACCGATCGTGCCAACTCTTTCACGCACCTTGCAGCGCGTACATAAACTGAAATTAAAATTTTCACTCGCGATGCCACAAATTTCTGGTCCGGGAGAAACAATCAAACCACGCAGCGCCAAATCTTCTGATGCTTGCAATTTTGCAAACATGATGAATCATGTTTCTTTCTCGATTCTAAAACTTCTCGGAAAGCGAGAAAACCACCACTCACACACGTATAACCGTCCGGGAGGCAGAGTGCCAGCGCTAATCCGGCAAATGCAGCCGAAAACTATGAAAGCGAACGCACGCACAAAACAGAGAACAAACACAACCGTATCCAAAGGGGTTCCGTGCGCAACTGAACTGTTGTTTTCGGCATCTTCAGCACTTTAGCCAGCGGACCACTCCGGATTTTCCAGGTGTTTTTGCACAATATTTTTTCTTCGTTCGAGTTCCATTTGACGTTATTTCTGAATGCGATCGACTACTTTGATTAAACTTGCACCAGTTGTTCTCTATACAAGTGTTAACAATCCACTGTCAAAGATTTTCGATTCCCAACACTAGAGGCATGCTAGCGGCGCGCGAGGGGGGTACCAATTATTTTAGTCAGCCTTTAGTATGTTTCGATGTCATTTTCTTTTTTAGATATTGCATTCCTCCTTGGTTGCCCCGAGACTGCTATTGTAAACTGGGAAATCACTACTGATGGCCCCTGACCCCCTTGTACATCATAAAATGATAATGAAAATGAAACAACAATTTCTATATTTAACTAATCACAACATTTAACATATATTTTTCACTTCTACGTGCAAAGGTTTGCCCTCCATTGGCCGATCTTCACGGGAGTTACTTTCCGCGATACGTTTTGTTATGTAAGGGAGAGAATCGAAATAAATAAATGCGTCTATCGATTGATATATTTTGTATAATATGCAAAAATGCTTTATTTTAGGAGAACTACCGATAAAAAATCACCTTATCTGGGTTTCCCTCGAGATTACGGTACAACCCTGATACCGCAACTTTAGGTACACCACTATTACTGGAACTCCTGCCTGGAATCCTATCATGAAATGATCGATTGATATCGATAAAATTAGATCATAGTTCAGATTAACAAAACTTAACTTCTTACCCACAGTTGAATCTTTTGTGATTAATTATAATTATTGTAAATATTTAAATAAATGAAACGCTGCTTTCATCCACGCTCATTCATCCAGTGTACACAGCTCATCTTCTTTATCGTCACAATAATCGTCTTGATTGACAAAGTTACAGCCTCCCTGCCGGGCACAGTCGTATGTGTAGCATTGTACGTGACAGCGATAGCTCCCGCGAAGGCATCCCGAACAATCTAATCAGAGTTCAAGACAAATTAAATGTGGATTTTATTTCGTATGCTTTAGGTATTCGTACTCACCAATGGATGGACAAACACCCCATCGGCAAAGGCCGAACTGCATGCGTGAATCAAAATTCATCGTCGGAGGCATGATGAGCGAAGAATTGCGAAGCATCGGTCTGCGCGGTTTCAAATACAGCACATTCGAAGTGCAGAAAGTTCCACAACGGTAGTGCTTTCGATGGAAACAAGCCCATTCGTCCTGCTGCTTTCGGCAGATCCTTGGCGATACGATTATGCAACATTTTTCTTTCTGCGGTTGTTCCGTGGTTACAAGTTCCACTTTCAGTTTCTCAGACTCTTGAATCGTTGATGGCTTCTCTTCGTATACGGTAGTTTCGTTGTTCCTTATCACCACAGCCTTGATAGAGCCATCAGACTTGTGACGAGTGATGTGAATGAAGACATTGTTGATGTTATGAGATGTTACGTTCGTAGGCGAATTGACGGTGTTCACATTGTGCACTATGTTTTTCCCTGGATGTGGTCGTCGATCCGGAACTACTTCAATGTCTTCATCATCGTCTTCGTTTGGTTGGAATTCGTTCGAATCTAGTGGTTCGACGAGCTCCGGAACGGGAATATTGACTCTCACCGGTTCAACGACTTTAATTGTTTCAATTGGCGGAGCTGTTTGCGCATGTGGAGGTATTGGTTGGAAGTAGCAAAATCCATTATTGAAATATGTACCAGGAGGACATGTTGGATTTTGAATCTCACAGAAACCTCTATTTAAAACGTATCCCGGAGGACAAGAGCTATCACACAGTGTTCCGGAGCAGCATTGATCATCGTTGTATCCCGTTGTACAAGACCTGTCCGACCTTGCTGGGTCCTCAGATGCGGTATGGATGGCTGAAGAATTAACTAGAAAACATCTTCCGCGATACATGGCATAGCCCGCATTGCACTCACATTTTCCCTCGGAATCATATGACCCATTTAGGCAGAGATTATCCTTAATCGCGGTTTCTAAGGAATTGGCACCGATTGCCCTGTGTACTAACAGCGTTAATAAAACGGCAAGACACTTCATTACTGCTTTGACGATTGGAACCACACGAGCAACTGATCCAGAGTCCAGTGACAGACTTAATCTTCCATGACCAATGTCTTCGCATAATGATTAGAGCTCTACTGAGGAAACGAGGAAAAATGCAGATAACGGTAGGCATGTGCGTTAAAACAGCACTAATAAAGAGCATAAAAAACCGTCAAGTATGTTTGCAAGGATCAATCGGTTATCAGTTTAACTCCTCACGAAGTAGATGTTTTTTTTTGTAAATGTAATCAAAAGTCATCAGAAGCACAATTTTTAATAAATAAATAAATAAAAATGTAAACTATTTCAGGACATTTTTTAATGTATGAACTTTTATGTTTATCTTTGTTTTTTTCACTTCAGACATGCGCTACAGTTCTGCTCGTTGAGAAAAATTCCAACCCGAAATATTTTCTAGTCCGGTCCGAGAATAGAACGCAACGTCTCCGGCATGATAATATTCGACTGATTGCTGTTCGAAACTATATTCAACGGTTATCGTATCGAGAGCCTAGGGTCATATTATCCACATCCGGACATATTCCACGTGCTCACGGGAAAGTGGCCAGATTCCGACTTGAGTCAAACCCCATCATGAGGCACATTAACCTTCCTAGTGCATTAGGGTCTATATGGGGGCATGAAGTAGTTCGCCTTCTCGTGGTGTGCCCTGGAAACGTTAATTATCGCACCCAAGGGAGAGATATTGCGACTAATCGAACTACAGCAGAGTAAGGACGCTGGAGCCCCATCCAGCTCGTCCCAGGAGGTCGATAAGCCCTGCACAAACCCTCGTTGTGCAAAGGCAGGAGTGACACCGGGTTCTTAGAGTGCTTAGCACACGTAGCTGGTAAGCGGTCACATCTGTCCTGTGCTGCCCTGGACAGTTGGCTGGCTATCACGTCTGCTCTAGAACTCAGGTGAACAATTAACAGCGAACAACCCCTACCACCCCTACAATAGTTGCAATTTCCAAACCTACGACTGGATGCCTTCCTTCAAATAACAACTGAAGTGCGGTAAAAATCGGTAGAACTGTTTCAAACACACCGTTGGTACTTGAGCGGGTCGGTTTTCATCTCTTTTGCCAGCGGTGGTGGGGGGGGGGGGGACACCCCTCACCATCCCTCTCCAAAGGGGGAGTTTGGTAAAGAGAGATGAAAAAAAAACCGATTTGTACCTTCCTTAAAAGTTGTCCTAGCTCGCTATTCTAATATCTATATGCAATCTTCACACTTCCGAGCTCTAACGGAACTATCAACTCTATGCTTTCATCTACTCCATCTATCGTATAAAAATTACCACTACAGTCTGTTATTTGAAATTAGCATCTTTTAACTATGTAAATCGTTGACTTCACGTAGAAGTAATACTAAAACATATAGTCAAAGTAAGTTTATGGGTTTTGCAAGTGGGTTTAGGGCTATAATTTAGATTAATGGGCACAAATGATCATAATTAGCCAGAATACAGTCATTTCTCCTACATATGGACGCAGGAGACAACGGAACGGTCCTCCAAAAGATCCGAAACATCCGTAAAAATGGTCCATCCATGAAACTGATCCTAGTGCTCCGCAGTTTTTTTTTTCGAAAACACGTGGAACATGATAAAAGAAATAATTTGGGATCGTGACTTAAATATGGACCGGATGGCTATGGAACCGTCATTCGGAAGATTCGGATCATCCGTAAAAGTAGTAAATCTATGAAACCGACCTTAGAGTTCCGCGGTTTTTTTTTCTTCTAAAACACTTGGAACTGTGATATAAGATAGAATTTAGGATAGTGACATAAACATGAACCCGGATGGTCAAGGCACCATTCTCTAGAAGATCCGGAACATCCGTAAAAGTAGTCAATCCATGAAACTGACCCTAGAGCTCTGCGGTTCTCTTTTTAACTTTTGGAACTGTGATATAAGGAAAAAAATTAGATCGTGACGGAAACAGAGACTATCCACATGTGATCATCCTCAGGAAGTTCCTGAACATCCGTAAAAGTTGTCAATCCATGAAACTGATCTGTGATATATGGATGAATTTGTGGTCGTGACAGAAATATGGACCCGGATGGCTGTGGGACCGTTCTAGATCTCCTCACCACCAGGTTGCATGAATACAATTGCTAAATGTGCACGGACACACATACAGATTTACCAATCTGTTTGTACCGGATTTTAGGGAGGACAGTCCCAGTTCCAAGAGTTTTCGAAAAAACGCGTTTTTTCGCAGTTTCAAGGATGAACTACTTTAATGGATCTTCTGGAGGATGGTCCAATAGCCATCCAAGTCCATGTTTATGTCACGACCCCAAGTTCATTCATATATCTCAGGTCGAAATGTTTTCGAAAAAACCACGGAGCTCTAGAATCAGTATGGATGGATCACTTTTACGGATCGTTCGGAGAACGGTCCCATGGTCATTCGAACCCATACTTATGTTACGACCACACATTATTTCTTATAACACAGTTCCACGTGTTTTTGAAAAAAAAAACCGTTGAACTATCAGATCAGTTTTATGGATCGACCATTTTACGGATGTTCCAGATCTCCCAAACTTTTTTCTTATATCACACTTACAAATACTTTCGAAATAAAACGGGGAGCTCTAGGATCAGTTTTGTGGAATGACCATTTTTAAGGATGTTCCAGATCTTCCGGAGGTCCGATGGCCTTCTATGTACATGCTTATCTTACAATCCCCAATTAATTGTCAAGTATTTTTCAAAACCCGCAGAACTCTAGGATCAGCTTCATAGATTGATTTCTTGACTGTATTGAACATGGTTGATTGAGGAACCATGACTGTATTCTGGCTGGTTATGAACATTTGTGTCCAAAAATCTAAATTATAGATCTTAAGCCACTTGCAGCACCCATAAATACACCTTAAAAAACGTGTTACGACTCTTATCACTTTTAAAAAAGAAGACAACCTTATTTTCAATAATCTACAGACTCTAGGAATTTTAGAGGTATCACACTTTTTGAAATTCATCAATAAATGGCTAAATGATGCCATTGCAAACATGCCGTTACACGCTTCCCGGATATGCGATCAGCGAGCATGTCGCTTCATCGCATTTGCTTGGCTCGACTATCCAAAGTCCGCTCGATGATCAGGTTGCGCAATGCGTTCAAAACCCTTGTGTCGTGCCTCCGGTGGATATGATTACAGTACAACAGATTTGATCTGCGGTGAAATGCACCAAGAACATGAAGGCTCCCGTGTTTGACAGTATATTCAACTTGATCTTGAAGAGACTAAGCATGAATAACAGTCTCTTCTAACCGCTATCTTCAAAAGATGCTTGGAACTGCACTACTTTCCAAGCATCTGGAAGGTAGTAAAAATTATACCGATCCGGTAAGGATCCAACATTGCCTTCAAGCTACAGACCAATCAGCCTTCTTTCAGCGCTGAGAAAATTGTTCGAGAAACTCATTCTCAATCGTTTGCTCAAGTTTGTCGAGGATAACAACATTCTCCTACCGGAACAGTTCGGGTTCAGGAAGAAACACTGCACCAATCACCAGCTAGTACGGGTGATGAATAACGTCCGAAGTAACAAAGCTATATCTAAGTCCACAGCCATGGCCTTGCTAGACGTCGACAAGGCGTTTTACAATGTTTGGCATTACGGACTTGTGTACAAGCTTTGACTCTTCAACTTCGCATTAAATCTGGTTAAAATCACCCGTAACTACCTCCAGCAATGGTCGTTTAGGGTATCGTTGAATGGTTGTCTTTCGAACACGTTTTCCATCCCAGCAGGAGTCCCGCAAGGCAGTCTGTTGGGTCGTTGCTTTACAGCATCTACACTTCCGACATTCCTCCCCTCGGAGACGGATGCGTGTTTTTCCTGTTCGCAGATGATACCGCAACAGCCGTCAAAGGAAGGATGCCTCGCGAAATAACGAACAAACTTCAACGATGCCTTAACGCCTTTGTTGATTATGCCACCACGTGGAAAATTAAAATCAATGCCTCCAAAACTCAAACAATCATGTTACTCCATCGGCAATCGCCCAAACTAAAACCGGCTCCATCTTGTACTGTAATCTTGGGTGGCACAAGGGTTGAGTGGTCTGCCGAAGTTACCTATCTCGGGATGTTGTTCGATGAAAAGCTCCTCTTCCGTTCGCATGTAGAGACAACTGTAATCAAGTGGTCTGCCTTGGTTAGATGTCTTTTTTTTTTTTTTTTTTTTTTTTTTTTTTTTTTATACAGGGGGGAATCTGCTCACAGACACCTGAGAAGGAACTCAGGGTGTGGGGATGGGAGAATTTCACTCCCGACCCACTAAACCTTACCCTGTGCGCTTGGCCCTTGGCCTCCCCGGAACCGCCCGAAGGCATTACTTCGTGGGAGGGGCCGCTGTAGCGCTATGGCGCCTCTCTAGCAATACTCTAACGATCTGGTCGGGCAGTAGGTAACTGCTGCTCGGCTCGCCACTGTCGTTGTAATACCGAAACTATGTGGGTGACCGCAGTCACCACCGCGCTCCAGTTCTCGGTGGTACCACACATCCTATGAACGATGTTGTCCGGACTGGTATCCGCTCCGCATATCGCTAGCATAGCGCTCGATACTGGCTCGAAACGTGGACAGGCAAACACGACGTGTTCGGCGGTCTCCTCGACACCAGCACATGTGGGGCAGGTGGGAGTACTTGCATGTCCGAACCTATGCAGGTAGCTCCTAAAGCAGCCATGGCCTGACAGGAACTGTGTCAGGTGGAAGTTTACTTCCCCATGGCGCCTGTTGACCCAGCTTGATACGGAAGGTATCAAGCGGTAAGTCCACCTCCCCTTTGTGGAGTTTTCCCACTCCAATTGCCATCTCGCGGTCGACACAACTCGCGCGTTGTTGCGCACCCCTCGAACGGTCCTCGCGTCATAACACGCCACATCCTCCTTAATGATAAGGCTGATTGGCATCATCCCTGCTATGACACAGACGGCCTCTCTCGAGATAGTGCGGTATGCACTGGCCACCCTTAAGCACATTAGCCTGTGTGTACTCTCTAATTTCTGCCTGTGGCAGTCAATATCCAGTACCGCAGCCCACGCAGGGCCGCCGTATCTGAGGATAGATACTACGACCCCAGCGAGGAGCCTGCGCTTACTGGCATTCACTGCCGAGCTGTTTGACATCATACGGGATAATGCCCCCACAGCCATAGACGCTCTCTTGCAGGCGTACTCGACGTGGCAGCCGAAGCTGAGCTTATCGTCGAGCATAACCCCCAAGAGTTTTAGAGAGCGCACAGACCTAATTGTGCTTCCGCCGACTGTCAACGTTGCATGCTGTACTGACATGCGATTGTTGACTACGACCACTTCCGTCTTGTGATGGGCGAGCTCCAGTTTCCTGGTTCTCATCCATTCCTCCACAAGCCTGACGCAGTGGGCCGCTGTCAGCTCTACCTCCTCGAGGGATTCCCCGCAGACTACCAGCGTGACATCGTCGGCAAAACCTACAATTTTCACGCCTACCGGGAATTTTATCCTCAACAGTCCATCGTACATGACGTTCCATAACACCGGGCCCAGGATGGAGCCTTGTGGCACACCTGCGGTGACTCTAACGCATTTTTCGCCATCTTCTGTGTCGTACGTCAACACACGATTCTGGAAGTAGCTTTCCAGAATCTTATACAGCCCTCCGGGAATTTGGAGCTGGTGTAGCGAGCGGGCTATCGCCCCCCAGCACGCGCTGTTGAACGCGTTCTTCACGTCTAAGGTTAGCACCGCGCAGTAGCGAATGCCCCTTCGTTTCCGATGGACCACCTCTGCCGTCTGGATGACGTCGCGGATGGCGTCCACCGTGGATCTGCCCTTTCGGAACCCGTACTGGCTGCTTGACAGGCCGTCTACACCTTCGGTGTAGGCCGACAGCCTGTTGAGGATGACCCTCTCAAGCAGTTTCCCAGTGGTGTCCAGCAAACAGATGGGTCTGTATGCTGACGGGTCCCCAGGGGGTTTTCCTGGCTTCGGAAGCAGCACCAGCTTCTGCCGCTTCCACGCGTCTGGGAAGACGCCTACGTCCAGACAAGTCTGAAAAACAGAACGGAACATGTCTGGATTTTCCGCAACGGCCGCCCTCAGAGCCACAACCGGGATCCCATCTGGGCCCGGGGCCTTGCCCACCACCAGCGACCTGGCAATACCGCCAAGTTCACTGTTCGTCACTCTAGACACTTCTCCCTGATCCGCGCCTGGGATCCGCGGCCAGGAGTCTACGTCCCTACGCGGGAACAGGAACCCAACGATCGGAGCCAGTACCGCTGGTGATCTCTCCGGGGGTGCCGTCACGCCGCGGGTCTTTGCCATGACCACTTTGTAAGCATCCCCCCATGGGTTCGTGTTGGCGCTTTGGCATAGGCTGTCAAAGCACGCGCGCTTGCGTCTGGCGATCTCTTTATTGAGGGCTGCCTTAGCCGCTCGGAGAGCGACGCGGCGTTCCTCGCGAGATTCAGTCGTACGAGCTCGTTGCATCCTCCTTCTCGCCTGGAGGCAAGACGCCCTGAGGATAGCAATCGACTCGCTCCACCAGTACACCGGTCTGTGGCCATGCCTGGGATAGGCTCTCCTAGGCATGGTTGTATCGCACGCCCTTGTCAGTGCTGCTACCAGTTCTTCCCCCGTCAGATCCGGGGTTATTCGCTCCCGCCTCAGTGCTTCGCCGAAGACCTCCTCCTCGAAGAACGACGTCCGCCAGCCTCGAGCGCAGGAAGAATTTCCTCCTGCCACTCGCCTCTCACCTGGCCCCACACTGTACCGAATCGCCTGATGGTCACTATGAGTGTAACCCTCATCGACCCTCCAGTGTAGGTTGCCCTCCAAACTCGGGCTGCAGTATGTCACGTCGATGACGGATTCTGCACCATTCCTTCTGTAGGTACTGACCGAGCCGGTGTTGGATAGTACAACGTCCAGCTTGGCCATTGCCTCCAGTAGGATGCGTCCTCTCTGGTTGGTGTGGTGGCTACCCCACTCTACCGCCCATGCGTTAAAGTCGCCCGCAATGACCACCGGTCTTAGGCCGACAAGTACCGCAGTCAGTCTGTCCACCATCTGCGAGAATTGCTCGATAGACCACCTGGGCGGAGCATAGCAGCTACTTAAGTATACTCCGTTAACCCTGGCGATCACGAATCCCTCGCTCGAGTTGGACACGACTACCTCCTGAATGGGGAAGCTCCCCATCGTGCATATCGCCGCCATCCCCGACGCGTCCGTGACCCAATTCCCGTTGCCGGTTGGGACGCGGTACGGGTCAGAGATGATTGCGACATCCGCTCCCCATTCCACTGCCGATTGCCACAGCAGTTGCTGGGCAGCCGAACAGTGGTTCAGGTTCAACTGCGCTACCTCGAACATGGCTGAGCATTGCTCTTTGCCTTAGCAGCATTGCTCTTGGACCCCGGGCAGCGGGGGCCACCTGCCATGTGGTTGGTAGGGGTATTCCCCTTCTCCGCGCATATAGTGCACCTCGGCGGCTTTTGGCAACCTCGCGCCTTATGGCCCTCCAAGCCGCACCATCTGCAAAGCTTGCTCCTGTCGGTGTTCTTGCAGTCACGGGCCACATGGCCCTGACCGAAGCACCTAAAGCAAGCCGTCACCGGTCGGGGAATACTGACGGGGCAGACCGACCAGCCCACTCGCACCCTCCCTGCGGCTACCGCCTTTCTGGCCTCAGCTGCAGAGAGCCTGATGGTAGCCACTTGGGTGGAGAACGGGCCCTTCCTCAAGGTAATCGCTGATTGCGGTACCTCGACTTGACACTGTTCCCGGAGCGCCGTGACTATCTCGGTCGCCTCCGTCACTTCGTCCAGGTCCTTGACCTGGATGGTGATAGTCGAGCCTAGCGACTTCACCTGCACCCCAGAACCAACAACCTCCTTTGCCAGTTTCTGGTAGGTTGGTCCCTGGTCCTTAGCACCACGTTTGAGCACCAGGAGCATCTCGCCTGTACGAGTGCGCCTGATGCTCCTCACGTTACTGCCCATCTCCACAAGGCGCTCGTCCGTTCTCATTTTCTTCAAGACTTCCGCGTATTTCGACGCGTCCGTCTTGAGGATGAGAGCTTCGCCCTTGTTCCTGGTCCGGGCAGCACTGCTCTTGGGGGCAGTTTTGTCCGGGGGTTTCGGGGGTTTCGGGGGTTTCGGGGGGGTACCCTTCTTACCGCCCTGCTTCCCGCCCTTGGAGCCGCTAGGTTTCTCAGTATTTCTATTGGCTATTCCAGCCCTCTTCTTCGGTACGTCCACCACCGCACTCTCCACCTGCACAGAGACTTTCCGTCTCTTAGGGCGTGCTGCGCCCTTTACTGGCGAAGGTGAGGGTCGATTACGCTTCTGTCCCTGCGTAACGGCAAAGTGGAGGGCCTCGCTGGACATCGTATTGTTGCCCGCGAAGTTGAAGGCGTCCGTCTGGGTAGACTTCGGTTCCTTCTGTTCCGCCCTCTCTGCGACCTCTAGTCGCTTCCTGAGCCGCTCGTGGTCGTCCTGGGCCTCGTTCACGTTTGCACGGAGCTGTCGCAAGGCCTGCTTTAGGTCCTTCGCGATGTTGCTCTTCGTACTCGTGAACTCAATTATGGCGTCGAGTTGTCCCGCGATTGCCAGCAGCCTAGGGAGGGGCCCAAAGCTATTCATAGTTCTGATTAGCCCGGGCCAGTCCTTCGGCTGCTCTTCCGGCTGTCCACCGATCCCGGCCGTTGTCTCTGCATCGCGCGGAGATTTCGACCGTTTGTTCGGCTCTCTGTGTTCGGGAGATCTGGGTAGACCTCCCTTCGCGAACGGGTTCGCGGTCGCCTCCTCGGCGACTTGTTCAACTGGGGTTTGGGGTTTTTGGTTTTTTTGATGATTGTTTGAAATCATCCCGACTGTTGGGTCCCCCTTAGACCGCTATCCTACCGTGCAAATGGAATAGTCGCTGATTGATCCCCATGGGTGCCTATGCGAGCAGTGAGGTCCATGACGAGGGTTGACATAGGCCTTCATGGGGCGTTATGTTCAGAGCCGGATCGCGTAAGACGGGAATAACTCAACCGAACCTATTCCCACCGCAGCCCCAACTGGGTGGCACGGGAGGAACGTATTCTAAGGCCTGCCAGGGTTTTATGGGACGGAGACAAACAAGGCATTAGCTCAAACGTCGTTTCGGCCGGTTCCACCCGACTCTACTAAGAGAATGAAATACCTTGAGTGCCAGCCCGTAGCGTGGTTTATGGTAAGTTTCCACTCAGTGTCCTACATAATGCCAGTGTGTCAGTATACATACTTGCGATCTTACTGACATCGATCGCAAGGCACCTTCCGGCGCTTCCCCTCGTTTGTTGTTCGATTAGCCGACTGGATCAGTACCGCAGCACTGGTGGTCCATCGTTTCCAGGGTGCACCACGGGGAGGCGAACAACTCCACACCCCTGGTTAGATGTCTGTATCCGCTGATTTGCCGCAGATCCCGCCTCTCAAGGGTGAACAAACTGGCTGTCTACATACAAATCATAGCACCTGCGATCCTCTACGCAGCTTCGGTGTGGGAATCATGTGCACAGACTCACAGGAACAAAATCCAGGTCGCTCAGAATAGAGTGCTGAGGATGGTACTTGATCGTCTTTTCGACACTAGAGTAACAAATTTACACGAAGAGGCAGACATTGCCAAAATAAATTCCAAAATTAACGAAATTAACACTAAACTTGCTTTGATAAGCAATTTGTATACAGTAGATTTAGTAGATTAGATGTTTTGGTTAGTTGTAGTTGTAAATAAAAGTTATAAGTAGTTTCCTTTTTCAATTTAAAACAACCTATCCTACCAAGGTGGTCATTCTCTTAAACAGGCCTGATAGGACTAGGAACTAAAGTTAAAAAGACGCAACTGTGTCACTTGATAACTCAAACACGTAAACCACATAAATACGAGAAATAAAGATCATTTTAATTCAAAAAAAAAAGCTGACCCAGCGATTATTGGCACGGACAGCAAGCAGTCAACATCGTCTAGCATCAGCAGCACACACCCCGTAGAGAAGAACACCAGCAGCAGCACCACCCGAAGAGAAAACTCACTCAAAGATGGATGGCTTGGATCCTTCGGTTAGTGGCACCGGCCTTACCCATAGAGAAGAGCGGCAGCAGCAATCCCAACCGGCAAGAAATCAGCAGGCAAGACGTCCGATTACGACATACATGAACAACTGAATTGGTGTTAAGGTTGACGAGAATATATCTGATTCATCCTGACATCCTTCTGGTAGCGCTTGATTATATTGCGAATATCTAGTTGATCCGTCCATACCCAAGGAACAAAGAAGAACCAATTCTGTAGAATTTATATCGTTGCAATCCATAAACTCGTTGGGTTCTACATCAATTATGTTAACGATTCGTTCCACTGTATTTTCCATCAGCGCCTAGAGTTTCACTCTTATTTTCCGATGCGCTTTCTTCGATGAATTCACTAGGAGGGGCACATATTTTTTTCACTGCTCCGATTCCATCATAATGTGGAAATCTTGAAGGCACTTCTCTATGCATTAGTTCATATTGAAATCTACTCAATCCACCTTCGGTAAGTAGACTAAAAGCTTCTTTTAGAACTATTTTGGCTTTTCAAAATATGCCCAATAACTTTAACTAGATTCAGATCCTTTCGGGTATAAGCGGCTAATAACAATGATTTTTCGACGGTATCGACTTTAGGATCAACTGCTTCATTATGCGACGTTTTTATCTCTCGCTCAAATCCGAGAAAGATTTTGAAGGTCTTCCCTGTTTTATTCCTGAGGCCGAGGTTGATGTGCTTAATGCGATTAACTTCAAGCCACTTTTGTTTGTATTTAGTGGCAAGTATATGAATCTTATGATTCAGACATTTCTGTTTCCCCACCGACATTTTAAAATTTTTTAATGTTGGCCATTACATTGAAAAAAATATAAACCACATATTTTGTTAATCCCAGCCCAACAAAATCCAAAAGTTACAAAAGAATCGTTAAAATATTTGTCCACCAGCACTATTTAGCATGACATGAAAACTCCCATGGTGACCACACACAATTAATTTGCATTATTTCCAAAATATGCAAGTTTGTACCACTTCAGTTTTGTTAGAGTATACTCAAAACATTCCACACAGCTGTAAATAAGCCTGGAAATGAGTGGAAATCTGAAAAACAAGATTTTTTTTTATTATTATTATAGTCACTTAAACACTCTTGGGTCATTCGTGACTTGTCCGGGGGTGAGATTTGAACTCGTGACTTTGGCGTGAGAGGTTTGGATGCTAACCACTACGCCGGGGTAGCCTAAAAAAAAAACTAGATTAACAAAGTAAAAATTTCTATATATGTGTGTGTTTTTTTTTCAAATTACAATTTTGTTATCATTGTTTGAAAGCTTATTATATTAGCTTTTGAACGAAGTTAAATAGTCTTGTAGTTTTTTTTTTGGAATAATTATCTAAAACTGATTTCTATTGAAGTGCGTGTTTGCTTCGAAACGCGTCCCTTTTTCTCGCATTTTGTTTTACTTTGACGATCGATATCTCAGAAACTGGAAATGATGGAAGTATAAAACTTTGGGTTTCTCTTAGTTGAAATGATTTCTCTCGACTAAATATTCCGTAAAAAGGCTTGGTCAAAGTCGATTTTTTTCCGCCAAATACCTGATAGTGGGGTGTCCGCAGTATTCTCGATTGCCAAAAGAACAAGGAGAAGAAATTGATTGAGTTTTTGAAACAATCTCAATTGTTAGTTGAAATATATATATGTTTTTCTTCTTTTTCTAATGAGGCGAATGACAATGTAATGTCAAAACGTCTATAATGAATAATAATAATAATAATAACAATAATAATATCCGTCCGGACTCCGGATATCTGGGTTACGAACAGATCCGGATAAAAGTCCTGGCACTAATAGGGAGCACCCTAATTTCACTTAAATAAATACAAACTTTCCCGAAGACACTATTTAGCTAAGGCAAATGGGTCAAGGTCACCAGTACAGTGACGCGAATACTGCACTGAAAATAAAATTTCGTTTATACAACGAAATCGATTGCGTATGCTACGAATTCATACGTTGTTTTCTGCAACGAAATAGATTCGTAATTCATAAGAAGCTAGTTTCGTATAAATAACCAACATCGTTTAGTTTGTAACATTCGAAACGTTACCACAGCTGCTACGAATGTTTCATAACATAAATACGTAAAATTCGTCAGAAAAAAATCTATGGATAACAATCGTACGATTATTTCGTTTACCTACGAATCAAAATGCTTACATTGTACGAAAAGTAATACCAAGGGAATGAAATTATGTGCTTAAAATGAAATTTTCTTTTTTGAAGGTTGTCAATTTAAAATCTTTATTTGCCATTTTTCACTCAGGAACGCTCAGGGAAAATTCAAATGTTCACTAATTAATAATTCTCACGCACTAGAAAGTTGCAAATAGTTGAGCAAAATAAAAATTGAACATCTCTTACAGTGCTATCGTAGCATGTCCATGTTCATTTCCATGAGTGGAGCACTCAGCATCAGGAGTTGCTGTACAACGCAGCAAGTTCCAAGGTAACTTCAATCTGCTTCAGGATTAAGTCGGTCGGTAAATTACAAAAAGACGGTCAATTACTCACCCCATTTGTAGATTCGGAGTTGTTTCTTGATCACCACAGTAGCAAAATAGGCATATTAATTAGCTCTTGCGACAGGAACAGCTTGTTCAAATTTTGCTTTGGCTTGCACTCCTAAATTATGCCTTTTCCAAAATCGATCGGGTTTTTAAACCGCACATAACTCTGTTACAGGTTGACATGATGGTGTCGAAATTTACAATTTTCGCCACGAGTTGCACGCAATCTCACTCACAAATTATTGTTTTACTTCTGGCCGTGAATGTATGTAAACATTTAAACCTCAAGACAATTCAATTAGTGCAATAAAGAAAGGTTTCGTAACATACATGTAGAAAGCGCGTGCAATATTTACTATGGACAAAACATTTTCGTAGGTGAACGAATGGTTTCGTAGTTTTCACGAATGCAAGAATGATGTTAAAAGGCCAATGTTTACATAATTACGAAATTCAGTTCTTGTATCGTACGAATTACCTGACGACGTGCAATACGAATGTTTCGCATAATTAACGAATAAATTGTGTAATGTACGAAACCTATTTTTACGACAAGAGTGTGAAGGAATTAACGAATAAAAATTTTCAGTGTGTCGGAACTGCAGCAAAAGCGGAGAGAGGTAGATGAGCACAGCAACATCAGCAATAAAGTATATTATGAATGAACACCAGTTAATTCGCCTTTTTCACAGCTAAAGCAAAAGGCGAAATATATTTTAAGGTTTTTATTATTAAATACACTAACTGTCTTCATTCAAGATTTCCAGAAACCATAGTTTAACAGAGCTAATTATACTAAACGTATCATTCAGAAGTACAGAAGTCTCCTCGACATCCCTCACCAATGGAACAACCTTGAGTGGGCTTAGGATGATCACTGCAGAAGTCCCGCATACTGATGAACCTGCACTCTTCGCATTCGTATTCGTAGCAACTCTTCGAGCAGCTGTATTCTCCATAGGTGCATCCGGAACAATCTGTTGAAAAATTGAAAGAAAATAAAATAATGGCAATGAAGATTAAAATCAATGGTCTACGTACCAATTTCACTCCTGTAGTCTTCATCATACTCCTCCACGTATTGATCAGTGCCCTTAGCAGCCATGATCAATATCTTGCTCTCGTCATCGTAGCTGGTTTCGTCCAGAGTCAGATACAGGCTTGCATTGTCTTCCACGCAGTAGCGGCTGCGAACATAAGAAAACACTTCATGTGTACAATCCCATACGTCATCATTGTTGGTACAAATCTTTGGTGAATACACTGTGCAAGTGAAGATTTGTTCTTCCGTATTCGTTCCATGGGTTACTTCTGAGACTGCTTCATAGGAGCTGCTATTAAAGGAGGACGTTTCTGAGACTTTCGTATAGGAGCTGCTAGGAAGAGAGGATATTTCTGAGACTGCCGTATAGGAGGTGCTAGGAAGAGATGATATTTCTGAGACTGCCGCATAGGAGCTGCTAGGAAGAGAGGATATTTCTGAGACTGCCGCATAGGAGCTGCTAGGAAGAGAGGATATTTCTGAGACTGTCGCATAGGAGCTGCTAGAAAGTGAGGATATTTCCGGAACTGCCGTATAGGAGCTGCTGACATGTATGTTTTTGAAAAAATCATCAAATTCGCTTGTGATAGAATCTGTTGATGCAGTGTAAACTGTTGATGCACTGTTAGCTGGTAGTACACTGTAAGCTGACGATCCCACTATAGTATTTATCAATGGTGATGGTGTGTACGATACGACATTGGTTATTTGTGATGCATATGAAGGCTGGATCACGGTAGCAGTGTTACCAGTCGCAACAAACTGTTGAACGTTGGCTTGTGGTTGCGGAGCAGCCGTACAGGTTACACTTTCACAAATTCCTCCTTGTAGAGTATAACCGGCCGAACACGAGGCTGCAGCATACAAAGTCTTCATACACTGAGAACCCTGTAGAGTGTATTCGGCATTGCAAACATAATCGAAAGAGTGGACTTCAGAAACACACCGACCATCACGGCTAGTGTAGCTGGGTGGACAGGTAGCGGTTGCTGTAGAAATCTTCAAGCACATGGCATTGGTGTGCTTGAAGTCGATTGGACAGATAGGAGTGCCTACGACACAGTACTTCTGCTGAAGTTTCCCTCCAGATAAACATGTTGGATTGATGTGATCTTTCTTGGTACATTGGCCTTCCGAAAAATGGTAACCAACCGGACAGTCGGGGCCAGGAGCCATACAGTTGCCATTGTATAGAGTACCTTCCTTACAGGTCATTGATGCATACTGGATTTGTATGCACTGACCTCTGGAAAATCGATAACCGGTTGGACAGGTAGGATTCATTACACAACGATTTTCCATCATAATTGCACCTGGCGGACATTGTACCGTTTGGTATGAGTACCTCACACACCGATTATTTTCTTCTTTGAATCCAAAATCACACGAAGGTTGACCCTTTATACAGAGGTTATTACGATACGTTGTACCTGCGGGGCATGTCATAGTTTCGTAGTTATGTCGGACACATTCTGCACCCTCTTGATTAAAACCATTCGGACAGGTCAATCTCTTGGAGGTGCATCTATTACCTTCAACATAAAAGCCGGATGGACACTGTGTGGGAACTAGCTCGTGGCGTGTACATTGTCCAGATATCATCTGGTAGCCTTGATTACAGACAGCTTGCACAACACAGAAGTCACGCTGGAGGAAGCTTCCGGGAGGACAAACGATTGGTTTCCGTTTCATAAGTTCACATTCACCATTTTGCAAACTAAAACCAGGATCACAAGCGGGACCAGGAACAATGCAGAAGTTGTCGAAATGCCGGGATCCTGGTGGACAATTGACCGAACGTTGCTCACTCTTAGTACAGGTCTGATTTTCAAAACTGTATCCATGTTCACATTGAATCGTCGTAACACAATAGTCATCCAGGACCATAAAGTTGGGAGGGCATTGTGGAGCTTCGTATTCGATCTTATAGCACGCATTTTCACGCAGCTCATATCCAAAAGAGCATTCTGCTTGAGCAACACAAAAGTTTTTCAGTAGTTTGTGATTAGATGGACAACGGGGTTGAACTTCGTGCGCTTGAGTACATTTTCCACCAATATTGTGGAAACCAACACCACATTCTGGACTCATGTAGACGCACCGGTTGTCTCGTAGAATGAAACCTGCTCGGCAGCTTAGTGGCATCTGTTCTAATCGAACACAGCGTCCATTCTCCATCACAGAGCCATGTTCACAGACTGGGGCTATATATAAGACGCATTCATTGTCTTGCATGGTATGCGAAGGTGGACATTGTTTAGGAATAGTCTGTTGACGAGTGCACATTCCGTTTGCGGACACGTAGCCAGCAGGACATACGGCCGCTTGAGTAGTGGTGATGTACTGTGCCTGCTGAGTTTGTCCACATGATCCACAGTTTTGTTGGGCACCACATAAATAGTTGTTGTAACCACATGGTTGTTGGTTGCAGACACCAGTAATACAAGGCGATGGTGCCTGTTGTGCAACGTTTGAAACCATCGTTCCATGGCACATCCCATTTGCGTAGGAGTACCCTGCTGGACAGGTGGGTGCAATTGTTTGGACTGTGGTACACATGCCATTGGAAAATGCTGCCCCAAACGGACACGATGGAGTTGTCTTAATCAAACATTGACCATTTCTAAATTCCGCATTACCGGAACAGGTTGCGGACGTTGTATGCCTCCGAACGCACATATTATTATGCATTTCAAAGCCAGTGATACAGTCGAAGTCGTTACTAACACAAACGCCGTCCTGTAGATTTGACCCTGCTGGGCATATCACCGATTGAAAAATTTGTTTTCGGCAAAGTCCGCCTTGCAAGGTGTATTCACTGTCACAGTAAGGTCTTGTCAAGCAATAGCCTCTCAAAAACGTATATCCCGATGGACATCTAGGTTGAATGGAAGTCTCTAGAACGCACTGTCCGTCTCGAAGCCTGTACTGTGGGCGGCATCCAACATTCTGAAGTCGGCAGTTACCATCTATATATTGAGATCCATTTGGGCAGGCAGGATGTCTCCGATCATGCCTGACACATACTCCATTTTCGAACTGGTAGCCAACTTCACAAGACGGTTGAGCTGTGATGCACATTCCATTCCTCAATTGACTTCCCATGGGGCATTTCTCACTGCTTTTTTCCATTCGTATGCATTCTCCATTCTGTAGAATGTATCCCATATCACAATTAACAGAGGTAACACACTCTTCTCCTCGCAAAGTAAAACCAGCCGGGCACGATACAGGTCGCTGATCATACTTCATGCATCTTCCATATCGTTCATCATATGTATAGTCCCTTCGGCAAACCTCCTGCTCTGATACACAAACACCGTTACGCAAACTGGATCCATAAGGACAAATTACGGGTTGTTTCTCGAAACGACTGCAACGGCTGTCCTTCTGTTCGTAGCCAGCTGGACAGCTAACCTCTTGAACTACACAGACATTATCCCGAATAGTGCTACCGGCAGGGCATCGTAGCTGATCGTACCGTACCTGTACGCATTGGCTATTGCGTGATTCGTAGCCTGTTGGACATTTGGCTTCGGAAACAAAGCAGTAGTTGTTTATCATACTGGTTCCATTGGCGCACTGAACCGAAACCGTCCGCTCCAGTATGCACTGTCTATTGGAAAATCTATAGCCTTGTGGACAGGTGGGTGCGCCGTACTGACAAATGCCATTGATGAAACGTGATCCAGGAGGACAAGCTGACGGTTGCTGGATGGATTGCTCGCATCGACCGAATGAATCCATAGTGTATGGTGGTTGGCATACCGCCGGAACGACACACTCTCCCAATCGCAACTCACCTTGTGCACATGTGGCTGGTCTGCGCTCGTAAAACAAACAGTTCTGTCCGTCTATTTGGTATCCCTCAGGGCAACGCGCGGAAGCCGTGATCAATGATGTCTTATTTCTCATAACTGAACTCTGAACGTCATGCTTTACGCACTGACCATTGGAGAAAGTATACCCTGCTTGACATGTGGGCAATGCGGTATTCTTCGTGCAAATGTCCGGAACTTTGATCGGCTGACGATTGCACATGTTGTTGGAAAGAGAATATCCCGATGGGCACGTAGTTGCCCCAACGCAAGTATTTCCCGCTAGCGTAAAACCTCCCGGGCAGTACGACTGGCGGACGACGCACTGTCCGTTTTCTAGGACGCTACCGGCTGGGCAAAGCATCGAAATCGGTTGGACTCCGGCAGAACACAACGAACCACCAAACATATTTTGGTAGGGACAGGGAGCTGCAAACTGACGGCTCGTACGATTTTTCGGCGCTGTGTCTGTGTCGGTTGAATTGGTTGGATCGAGTTTCAAATTACGTAAGCTGATCGAGGTCGTGCTGGTGCTTATCACCAGCAACGAAATCCATGCTAAAGCTATAGTGAACGTTCCCATCTGAAATGAAACGAGAAGACAGCATTATTGGAATCATGAGTTACCTGATTACGCAACCGCTGGGTACGGAATACAATGTAAGTGTGTTTCGGTGTCACTGTCAAGGATTACGATTATTTGATTATATACTTGGGGAAGAAGGGGTAAAATGGACCACAAAATGGACCAGTTCTATATGAAATTCACAAGGTTCTAGGAAAAACTTCAATCCATGGTAGATTACCATTGATTCAAAAATACCATGTATCTCCCGGACTTACAAAACGTCAAAACAATTAATCGAAACAAACTTCTCGTTCGGTGGGGCTTTCACGATCTAATTTATATGCAATAAATCCATGTGTTTTCTGACATTTGTTGGCATCGTTACCCTTCAGTAGGCTGTACTTCTTCTGTGACTGTTGATAAAGGTATGTAAACATGTATTAAACATGTGAAAATATATAATACAGTGAAAATGTAAACAAGGGGTTAGACAGACCACATTTGACGGGATTACAACACCAACCTTCTTATTGCGTAGTGCTTTTGATTGCAATGATGTTTTTCCTGACCAAGTTCTTTTCATTTCTCTTTTCTTTAATCAAGTATGTTTGCAATTTCCAGCGACATGAACAGATTCTGCAATGTGGTCACCGAATGGTTTTGAATATAATTTTGTAATTTGTGTTGGCTTTCGAAGTTTGTTTCCTCAAATGCATTGCGTCTAGAAAATCATCTCGTGAAAGGTTTTATACACAAATATGCATTCTGGACAAGCTTACTTGTATGATGCAGTCCATTGCAAGAACTGCCATTACATTTGTTGTATGAAATATATGCAGAGGATGTAATAAATCAATCCTTTCATTGGATGTAAGAGATACATGTGTTACGTGTTCTTATTTTTATTCCAACGTAAAACATGTAGTATATTATTGCCCCGGGGTATCCAGAAACATATCCGTGTGTTGCCAATGTGGTCCAGCGTACATAATATTGTAAATAATGCTATTCTTTTTATAATTCTCGTGTTCTGACGTTTCGCATGATGGGATTGAATTCAATATGATTTTGTTAACTTTCCTGAGGGCACAGGAGCATAGCGTGACACTCAGGGTGCATATTTTGGGTGTCACCTCCTAACTGTGAATTATTTTTGTTCACTGCAAAATGAATACTTATCATTTATACGATGGTATTTAAACACTCTTTTTCATTTATCAATATTTTTGAAGCTGTGCTAAATGTAAAGTAAAGTTACCCCTCCTAATTAGGTGAATTTTAAAATTTGTACACCTACGGTTGATGTACACACTTAAAAATAATTAATTTTACACGAGACGTAATCCATCTTTGACGTAAATTATGGAACGTAAACAAACATGTCATGTAAAATTAAGTGTTCTCAAACCGAAACATACGCAACTCGACGAAAAGTACGATTGATTGAATTTATTTTTTCGTTTCTTTCAACTGATTCTTACGTCATTTGGGCCGCTTACATGTGTTGGTCTCAGGGCACGGAAATTTACTTGACTTTTTGGTAGTGTGTTCAACATAATGAGGCAGCCTGCAAAAAGTATCTACCCACCATAAACTCAATATCAGCCCATAAAAAGAAGTGTTGTCCTTAGATCGAAATTTCAGAAGGTCATTGCAAAATTGAATGCAAATGTAATCCTGACATCACTTGTATCACTGAAATTGTTACAAGGGGAAATAGTCATTTGGCAAAACTGTTTTCCATCGTCCACCAATTTTAAAATCATTGATTAAATAAGTTGCTGGCACGACCCGTCAAGAATGTGATCGGATGAATATAATATTGAAATTTAGAACTGTATCCATTTATTTTAAAAGTTGGTGACACACAACTTAGTGTTAGATTTGACCTCATAATGACTATGGTTGATGGTAAAACTATAAACGCTATAACACACACAACATCGGCCCAAAGATGTTATCTGTGTAACAACATCGACAGAGTTCAATAACGTTGACGAAATGTCGATAAACTCTAACAACTGAAATGTATTCGATCTTGGCCTGAGTACTCAACATTGTTGGATTAGATGCTTTGAGTGCCTGTTGCATATCGCTTATAGGCTCAGCTTCCGCAAATGGGTCAAAACGGTCATTTTCAACAATTCAGCAGGACCAAACAGCGTATTTAAAATTACTGGGTCTACATATTGACATGGGGTGTACCGGATTTGCCATCAGCAAAAATGGAAATACGGCAAGACGATTTTTTTCCAATACCGAAGTCAGAAATTACAGGAGTTGATTGTTTTCCTCTGTTCGGGACATAAAACCACTGAAAGCAGTTATTGAGTCTATTGTGGTCCGTGTCCTTAGTTTAGTGTATGTCGTATTATTCCATCACTATTTAGAAATTATTCGGTTTGCCTTCACCACAAGGATCTGACTTGAATTATCCGCTCTTCATACCCGTCGGAGTGTTGAAACACCCTTTGAGCATGAGCATGATAGACTGCCCACGGTTGCTACTCTGTTATTGCCAGATCAGCTGTAATTATACAGAGAATCAATAGGCGATTCTTGGGACTAGAATTCATCCTCAATGTAACTGGTGATCTCAAACTAGGCAATACCAGCGCCGGCCGCGCCCAAAGGCAGGTCAAGAAAGGAATGGGTAGGAATATGTTGACGTGACACTCACTTTGATGGAAGCCGAAGAGTACTATGCACTTCCACGAAGAATCACTGGTATGTTGAGTAAGATGGTTTTGGTAAATGATAAGCTGAATTGATGTCCTAACGATCATATAACGTGAAGCAGCTTGGGATTGAACCCACGATCTTCTGCTCAGTAAGCAAAAACGTTTGCCACGAGTTGCTGTTATTACCATATAGCCATATTAACAAATATACGGATTGACGAATTTCGAACGTAGATGGGCCTGAGATTAAACTCATGATGTTCTGCTCAGTAAGCAAAACCGGTCGCTCTAAGGCAACCAAGCAACCGGCAACCTTAAGTGAATTTTAAAGATTGTGCACCTATAGTTGGTGAATGCATACTTTTTCCTAACATTCGCAGATTGAAATGTTTGAATCATAGTTTTCATAGATTTTCAATCCAGCTAAAGATACTATGTTTAGGGATTACAAATTTCTCAAACGAAATTACTTAAATGTTCTACAAATTCATTTAACTTTAAATTATTTAAATTTTTATCACAAAAAAATTGAATTGTTTTGAATTTTGTCTCATTGTTTAAAGAGTGTGCAGGTTTATGAAACTTATAAACAAATGTTTGAAATCCTGAATTAACGTTTTAAAGGCAATTTAAGGTATCCATTTAATATTGAAGTGGTTAACAATACTGTTCATATGATTTTTGATATTTATTTTGTTTGTTAAATTGTGTAATTGATTTATTCCTTTGTATGTATGACGCAGCAGATAATGTCTCTTCCCCATTATTAATTAACAAAATAAAATTTTCTTCGTTCACAACCATTTTTTGTTTCAGCTCAAGACTTTGAACTCTGATATTTAAATTTATTTTGAATAAAAGAGTCATACAATTTTTCAAACGTATTTATGATGAAGGCTATTAGGCTGTATTCCGCTGAGTAAAAGATTGATCTAAGCAATTGTGTAATAAATCAGCAACATGCAATAATAAGTGATCACCTGAACATTCGCATGACAGTCCCATGTCTTATGGAATTCCTATAAATATGGGACTGTTATGCAAATAACGGCAACATAGGATCTTGAGACTTCAGGGAATTTTTATAATTCTTAGACTAGAAAAAAAACAACTTAAGATTTTTCGAAATTTTTTAAGAAAATTTCAATACTTAGAATACTTCCCAAGATATGAGAAACAAGAAGCAATTTCAATCTTGAAGTATTTTAAATAAAAATCACTAGAATTTCAAGCAGATTTGAATGAAAATTCAATTAAAATTTTTCAGAAAATTTTAATTTAATTTTGAAGCCTAACTACTGGAAAATAATTCTAAGGATCGGTCAAATAAAATGTAAAATAGAGTTCCATGCGGATTGAGCAGCTTGGGACGAACTTCTACCACCGATTTTATTTAAAATGACGCAATAAATTCCAGATTGATCATGCTTTATCCTATTTTTCGAGGATCTAGAAGAAGAAGAAGAAGAAGAGATTTATAAAGCGGGTGTCTTTTGTTGTGTAGCATTATTGGTTTGTAACGTTTTTGATCATTTATAGACCTGTGCTCAGTTGACCGCTAGCAAAAACATTAAATTTACCATAACACCTAAAATTTGGTGCTTGTTGCGTCCAACTTGCCGTACTGGTTGCCAAAAAACCCGTAATGATACTTCTTACTCCGTTCGAGGTCCTTCTTACCACGCATGTAAAAGAACGAGTTGAATTTGAATTTATCCACCAATGATGAGATCTGACCCTTATTGATTTCATGTATCGTGTGAGAGGTTTTGGCTCTCGAAAGAAACTGCAAACTGCACAAGGTGCACCTGGAACATGTCCAGATGTTTCAAATGCAGTGGTTCTCAAACTTTTGTCGATTGTGACCCAGCCATCCCATAAGCTCAATATGGAATACACATGTTTTAAAGCCAAAATGGTCTTAATACTCAAAACTGGCTTTGAAATGCCAAAGCAAATTGCATGATTGCCTGCAACACAAAATCAGAATGGCACTAAAAATAATGAAATATAAATAATAATAACGCTTATCAGCCAAATTAGTCCATAACCTAGTAGTATCAAAACGCAAAACTAGTACTTATTTGCATAGAAAAGCACATAACAACAATAATATGGTAAAAAAAATATACTTTAGGTCAACTTTCAACGCAAAAATGGCCTTATAAAGCTCGATTCAAAGTAAATCTGGACGTACGGTTTAATACACCACCGCGCCCCTAGTGGTTGGAACAAAAAATGTTTGACAGGCATTTGTTGATGTTTCATTGACAAAGAAATTGGTGACAAGTTTTTCTCGATTGATCGACACATCCCGAAATTACGGATCATGGA